GCCACAAAGAGACAAAGACACGCGCACGCATACGAATTGTAAGTGGATTGGCTGGGATTGGATTGTGGTGCAGCCGCTTTATGCTGGTGGTTCTTGCAGTTGTATTAAAATTGATTTCACTTTTGGTTAATATTTGAGTATTTTAATTTTTGCACTGCTCTTGCTGCTGCTGCCTCTGCTGTAGCTGTAGTTGTTGCTGCTGCTGCTGCTGGATGCGGGTTCTAATCAATTGAGTGGCTTCTAGAATTGGTTCTCATCAAAATAATATATCATGCGCTTAAGTATGCAGATAGATTCTGTGGCATGTGGGCGTTGTTAGCACTTGGGGTATCTTTAGTTATGGGTTTGATTGTGGTTAGTTAAGAAGCGCCTTTTGTTTAGCTTTTTCTTTACAGATTATGGATTTATAATTTGGTTTTAGATTCGCACCTATCGCACTCTTGAAATTCTTTTACATTTGCACACTTGTTCAGATTTCTTACAAATCTTTACTTAATTGTTATTATTTATCTTCGTTGCTCTTGTGTTGTTGTTGTTATTATGTTTATTTCATGCGCGCTACGAATTCCGTCGCGTTTTGAATTCAGATTAAAATTTAACACTTGCTGGCAATTCGCGCATTTAATGGCAAATAATTGAAGGCAATTCATGAACAAAAATCTCTCTCGCCGCTGTTCAGATGCTTTACATTGTATACACACACACATACATATACACGCACCGACTTATGTACAGAAGTAAGTTGATAAATTAATGCGCATATCGTACATATTTTATATCGCATATAGTTGTAAATATATTGCTCATTTTCATTATTCGATAGTAATAATTGAGTTGAGTTTGCTTTTTTTGTTTAATTTTTATTTGAGTTGTAGCTCGCACAATGGCGCGTATGCGCGATTTTTGTTAGCACACACTGATCACTGATCACTGATCAAATATACGAGCGAACGTTCGGTCGAGCGACGGCAGCTCTTCTACCTTCGACATCCGTTTAAGAACTGAAGTTGCGTTGAAGTTGTGCGTCGTGTTGTTGCCTGTGTCGGCACCATTGTATCAGCGAGCGACGCTGTCTCTGTGTGTGTCTGCATGTGTGCGTGTGCTTGTAGCGCGCTCTCGTATCTCGTCTATCTGTGTGTGTGCGCGCATTCGTGTGTGTCTGCGTGTCAGTGTGGGAGCAACTCGTGTGCTCGCATCGACTTCGTGCGCTCTAGCCGAGCCACACGAGCCACACTCGCACTCACACTCACACTCACACACACTCGCACAGTTGCACTTGGCAATAATAATAATCAAGAGGAAGGCATACTTGCCCAGCGCTTACTCACAGATACTCTCTGCCTCTGGGTTAAGTAAGAGTATGTAAAAATATCGAAAAAAAAAACTTTTATAGTTATACACATGCATATGTGTGTGTGGGGGTGTGTGTGAGTATCGAAATTTATATCAATTTCTAAATGCGATTGGTCTCCACTTGTTGCGTCCTCTGTAGTCACATTTCGTATTTCGACGGTCGCTAATTAATTTGAACAGTACAGTTGCTATCAAATTAGACAGCCGAGATCATTAACAACCCAACGCCAACACACGAGAGCAACAACCTGAATATTTTGTGGACCACCAAAATGGCCAGCAATAGCCGAAGCAGCATCAGCCCACAGCCCATAGCCCACTGGTCAGCAGCATTTGAGTGAGTGTGCTGGTGTGCGTGTGTGTATGTGTGTGGGTAGTAGCTCATCGGCGCACAAACGCCAACATTTTTCACTGATGGACCACAGAAAAAAGTATCTCATAGATACGCAGACACACACACGCACATAATTAGACAAAGTTGGGATTGGCCATCACTGCCTTCTGCATGAGATCATAGTCCAGCCAGCGAGCCAACCAACCAACCAAACAGCCAACCAAGCGACCGAGCAACCGAGCGATCGGCCAGCAACCCAGTTGCGCTGAAAAGCTGCTGTCGAGTCTTCAACAATACCAAATTAGTTGCCGTCTTTATGATTATTATTATTTTTCATTTTTATTTTTCTTATTTTTTTGTTTTTTTTTTTTTTTTTTTTTTTTTTTTTTTTTTTTTTTTTTTTTTTGTTTACAATGAAGGCGTACGTGTTTTTGTTGCTGCCATAATTTGTTGAAATGGGGGGAAAAAAGCAAATCTTTAACATATTTTTTTGTGTTGCATAATTTGTTATAAGCAACCGAAAAAAAAAAACACTAAAAATGGTGGCTTATGGAACGTGTTGAAGCGCAATTTGTGGCTACAGCCAATGACAAAATGAAGCGCAATTTACGTATAATGCAAAAAGACACGTTCAACGGCAAATTCAGAAAAACTCAAAAAAAAAAAAATAAATAAATAAAATAAATAAAATAAAAATAAATAAATATATAAATAAATAAAAATAAACATAAAATAAAAAATATAGAAGTACATATACAAGTGTATATATATTTGCTCAATATAATTTTCACTTCTGTCGGCCATTAAAAAAAGTTTTGCCGGTACATCTTATCGCGTTGTATCAGTTATCAGTTATTGATTTTGGTTGACTAATAAATGACATAAAAAATAAAGCATGAAAAAAATTTGCAATGGCCTCAGAGTTGTTAAGTTCAAGTAGTTCCAGGAAAAGTTGTTGCAAGTACATTCAATTTTTACCTTGTGCGTTAAAATACGAAAATGCCGCTGATAAAGCAGAAAACTTGCTACCTAAAAACATGTAGAAGAAGAAAAAACATTATGCTGAGCGGTGGAAAAATAATATTTTTATTAACAGCTGTTGGCCATTTGTGTGTTGGCTTTAATGAAATTTGACCAGAAAAGGATCGCCAAATGGATTCATACACAAATCATATTTTTATTTGTATTTTCTTCTTTATTTTTTGGCCACTTACATATTCTGGTAGCACACCCACCTAACAGACGAAGAACAACAACAACAAATAATCATGTAAATATATATATATATATATATATATATCGATATATTTGTTGTGGTAAGAACAATGGAGGCATCAGCGGAAATACAAAATGAAAAAAAAAAAAAAAAAAAAACAAACTGAAATGTTAAAAAACTGAGCGAGGCAATGACAGCTGTAGAGCTGCAAGAGCGAAAAGGAGAGATGTGGCTGATGTTGTTGTTGTTGTTTTTGCTGGTGCTGTTGATGCGCCTCGCTTACGGCCATTTCCGGTTGAAGCACGTGCGCACTAAAGAGGAGACACGGAGCCACCGTTGAAGCAACCACCGCTAAACTAACGCACCAATCACAAACTGAATCACTGACAACAACAGCAGCGGCAGCAGCGACAGCAACAACAACTCTGGTTCCTATCCTAACTACTTGCCCAAAACGCACACGTTCAAATCAAATTTGAATCGAAAATTTGTCAAAAACGCGCCGAGCCGAACATAATAATTATGTGCGTATCTGAAGAGGCAAGTAGAGAGTATACCAAATGAATACCAAGTGTGGAAAGGCTGCTTGGTTGCCTGCTCGGTTCACTGGTTGGTTGGTGTGTGCCAAAAGGATTGAGGCGTGGCCCAGGAGCAGGCGGCAAATGTTGTTGAATTTCAATTAAAAAGAAAACTAGTTTCCTTGCGCACAATAGACCATTATCCTGGTGGCACAGAAAGGGATTACAATTTAATGCAATAACGCGTCGCCCGAAGAAAAGATGAACAACTGAGCGAGGCTCCTGACACTGGCACTGGCACTGAGGGGAGTTGCAGGAAGCGCCTACCGAATAGCCAAAGGGGCTATAGAACACAAGGATTCGCTGCAGCAGCAGCAACAGCAGCAGCAGCAGTAGCAGCTGCTGAGGGCGGAGACAACGAGCTCAGATGCCTTAAACGAGCAGGAGCAGGAGCAGCAGCAGGAGGAGGACCTGGAGCTGGAGCAGGGCACTCGCTGACACTTGAGCTGAGTGAATAAGGTATGAATTGATATCAAATTAAAGCTGGATCTATATACCTGAGCACACGTGTGCAATTGGAGAGAAGCACAATCAAGGCCTGGCTCTGGGTCTGCTTTGCTTTTGTACTTGAGTAAGCACTTCCGCTGCCTGCCACACGTGTCTCCTTCTCGTTCTCTCTCTCTCTCTCTCTCTCTTTCTTCTCTCACTCACTACTCACTCTTCGTCTGATGCGGCTTGTGGCACTAATGTAAATCGGATGTCAATGCAGCGTGATGTGTATATAAATTATAAGAGAAAGATGGAAAGATAGACAGAGTGATCGAGAAAGACAGAGAGAGAGAGAGAGTGAGAGAACAGGCTAGCATGCGCATGCTTGTGTGGAGAATCCACTTCAATACAGAACCTGTTAGAAGCCAAGCTAAATAAATAAATAAATAAACTGTTAGTCTGCAAAACGGAAGGAAATCATAAACACAACGTAGTAGTTGTTGGTTGTTAGTTGTTGTTGTTGATGTTTTGACACGCATACTATCATAATTACAGCTGCACTTGGGCAGCGACCAACCCAACGCCCCACACAAGCTCGCATACTCGCACACTCCCATACACACACACTCCCATACACACACACACACACACACACACCTGTTGCTGCTTCCGTGCAGCGGTGGCAAAAGAAAATATCAATTTTCTACGTAAACGTGAAGCTGGCCAAGATGCGTCCGCAATTTAACAACATATATAGAGCAGCATCTCATGCGATACGAGTACGTAGACTATTGGAGATTGTGTACCTGCATTTTGACAACAAAATAAACAGATGCAGCTCTAAAGATATGCTTTGATTGTTAGACTTGTAAACAACACACACACATACAATATACAAACAAGAGAAGCTGCAACAGCAGCAGCAGGAGCATGAGAATGAGGATGGTCATTGGAATGGGAATGGGAATAGGAATGGAAATGGGTCTGCGTATGCCTATGAGAGACTGCCTTGTGTGTTGCATTATCTTCGCAGCTCCTTGGCGCGCATGTAGAGCGGAAATGAAACCAGATACTTTGATAGAGCGCTGCCAAGGAGTCGCTCTACAGCAGCAGCAGCAGCAGCAGCATCATTGATCTTCAGCTCTGATGAGGCAAAATGTAATGATCTGGCCATAAATGAGGCTCGGTTATAAATATTATTGATCTTCGTACTTGCTCGTACTTGAGCCGCTTGATTAAAAATGCTGCTGCAAATTGTTGATCTTAGGCTCAAATGCCAACTACTAAAGGAAGCGTTGCTCTTGACCAGAAAGCTGACGTCGCGTTGTCTATGTGCTGGGCATGTGTTGCATTCCAAGCAACTTCCTTAGAATTCAAGTACAGCCAAGATCACACACAAGCTTAAACTAAAAGCCAGTTTTAAAAACTTTAATTACTGTAATTTCAGTTTTATCCTATATTTATATAAGCAAGAAAAGTCAGCTAATTGTGGGAAGCCAGCCACGTATCAATACTAACTGATCTGCATTCATTTGCTTTTGCATTTGGAGTTGTGTAAGATATATTTCGTTTGCTAAGAAATCTCACTCAAATTACATATAGTATATTTGAAATTCAGCGACAGGAAGTGGTCGTCAGTCAATCAATCAATCAGTTTTCAATCAGAGCCAGCTCGTAAGTTATGGATCTGCCTTGACTTGGATTGGCTTGGCTTGATCTGCAGCCGTCGGACCTTCAACTGTGGACAGTTGGTAAGTCCTAAAAATTGAGTGACTCGCTAAATGGCTCATTTAATACCGTTTCTCACTGAGCACAGAAGGTGGCATGCGGTCAGCAGCAACAACGCCAACAACACCAACAACAGCAACAACATCAACAATAACTGCAATGTAAAGCATAAACGAATGAACCTGAACCTGAACCCTGCCAGAGCTCAACTCCAACGGCTGGCTGAACGTCAAATTGTGCACCTGTCCAACTATCACCATGACTACGAAACAACAGCAACAACACTAGCAGCAGCAGCAGCAACAAAATTCGAACAACATATGTGCCCTGCGGCGAGTAAGAGAGTGCGAGGAAGACAGCGACCCCAGGCTGAGTGAGGCCTGGACAACTGTTGTGTGTGCCTGAGTTTGCGCATTTTTTTCCAACGCAATTCGTAGCCAGATTGTGTGCCACACACACACACAAGCACTTACACACACACACACAGACATATGCATGCAGAGAGACGCACGCAATCACCCACACATTTCCGAGTTCTGGTTCCGAATTGTGAACGCTGTGAGAAAACTGTGTATTGCCTGGACGAAATAGACTCTCACACACACACACGCAAGATGCAGCCAGGCGATATGGGAATAGAGGATATTAGAATGTCAGAGCGCTGGCGAAGGATCGCCTCGGTCTGGTGCAGCTACCTGCCAGGCCACTTTGGCGCTGGCATTCTCGGCTTGCCTAATTTACTTGCGCCGACGCATTGTCCTGGACTGCAGCCAAATCAGATGTTTGCCGTCTCTTTTCAGCTGCTGGCGGCTGCACTTGTGGCACTCATTCATGAAACTGAAATCTCTACCACTTGCTTGAGCTGACAAACAAAAGGCACTGAACTGAATGGTGAATGGTGTTTAGGGGCCCCTCGGGGCCTTCAAGGTATCGATACGGAACTAAAGGAAGTAAATTACCGGATGTTGTATTCTCATTTGCTTGTTGTTCTTTGTGATTCACCGAGATATCCTGCGGCTTTTGTGCACTGCGGCCCACAACAACCTTGCTCATTTGTCATGCCGTTCACTCGGTTCTCTCTTGTTCTTGACGCTATTCGCATGAAATGACCAATAATAAACCTTGCCCGCCGGTTCCTCTTCTTCTACTTCAGTTTTTTTTTTTTTTTTTTTTTGGCAAGCCATCAAGACACACACATTGACGACATGGATATATATTTATATATATATATTTGGCTGCTCATTAATTGCACATATGCAATTGCTTTTTAATAGCCCACCTCAGACATGCTTTGCGCAATGTTTTCCCACGGCTGCTGAGGGTAGCATAAGTTCTATGTTCTTTTTTTTTTTTTCATAAACTAAAATGCCATGTTTGATAAATTACACGACAAATGTACAACCCACGACTCGCGTTCCAGCTCATTGCGCCTAAATGTTTCGTCCTGCCAAAGGATAACATTGTGACGTGGGAGACACAACTTGCGAGTAGGTAAAAATTGCATCAAAATAAATAAATATATTTTGACAAAATATGAATGCTGACAATAGCTAATATGTTTGTCAAAGACTCATATATAGGGCTGTAGAGAGGGAGAGAGAGAGAGAGAGAGAGAGAGCATAGCATAGCTTTACAGCTCAAGTGTTCTGCTATGGCTTTAGAAACATAAACTGTATATTCACAAATAATATACTAAGAGTCTGGTATTCCAGAAAAACTATTCACAAAGCGGAGACTTAGAAAATCCACTTCAATAACCAAAGCTAGACTTCTGAAACTTGGATTTTTATGGCTCACTTTTACACTCTAATTAAATCAATTCAATTATATCTACTATAAACTCTAATAGGCCTACATATGAGCTGCAGGACCCAATTGCTCTGCCATGCCCAAGTGTTTCCACCCTGTTGCCTTATCTATGCAAATGAGCTGGATAGCCTGGGCCATATGCGTGCGCACTAGAGTCTGGGCAAACAGGAGAAAAGTGGCGAGTATGGTAAACAACAACAAGCGCTGCAAATGAAACAATACGAAAACAACATCAACAACATTAACAGCAATGGCAACAACAAATCAGCTGCGCAAGCGCACAGATCAAAAGGTAAAATGCCGACAGAAAAAAAAATAAGCGGAGACGGGATGGGCTCTAGCACTTCTCTGGGCTGAAATTGCAAAAAAAAAAAACAAAACAAAACAAAACAAAAAGAGACAAAAAATTAAAAGCTAAAACAAGCTGAAAATTCAAATTTATTTACACTTTGACGCATTTAAAACAAAGAGAGCGAGAAAAAATAAGACGAGCTAAATAAAAAAAATACAAATAAAAATAAAACAAAAACAAATAAATGAAACGAAGGCAGGCCAACAACAGCAACAACAATACGCATAACGATGTGAAAATTAAATGTAAAAGCCAGTGACAGCGGCAGCAAAGAAAACGAAAATAAAGTAAAGTCAGAAAAAAAAGATACCAATGAAAATAAAAATAAAAATAGGCAACTAGCGGGGCTGCAAACTGATAAAAATCAAGAGACCAACTTTTGCACTGAATTTACGAGCCCGCAGCCCAAATTGCATTAGCTTTCGAGAATGAGAATTTTCCCACGTTGTCCAGAGTGACCGAGCCCGAACCCGCTCTAGTCGCTCAGGTGCTGGTTGAATTTGTCCAAAAACAAATTAAAACATTTTTCAACTTTTTTCCTTCTAAATATTCCAGTTCAACAAATTGTAGCAGGAGCAGGACATAGTGGCCCAGGACCTGTCGGTGGTTGTTTTTTTTTTTTCTGTTTTTTGCTTTTACTGATAGCCATCAAGTGTGTGTGTGACCCACCCCGAGGGAATGTTGCACTTGCTGCAGCCACTGCTGGAATTCAACTGGAGGGGCGCACCCTCACCCTCTCACCCTCACGAACTTCAGTTCGCCGCTCGGCGTCAGTGGCCCTCATTGAAGTTTGGTTTCCCTTCGTTTATTTGTTGCATTTCCACATAATTTTGTTATTTGTCTGTCGAGTGACAAGTGTTGGCATCAAATGTTTTCAGTGCCTTTGGTTTTGCTTTCTGTTCCCAAGGGTGTTGGATCAACCGAGTGCTACTATGCACAATTAGCCAGGGGGTAGTTTACTGTTCACTGCACCAAGGTCACCCGACGACCTGTATTTACAAACTTTATCCATTTCCACTTTAAAGCTGTGCAAGTAGGAACTATGCAACATTCGTGAGATATTTTAGATATAAAACTATCTTTATCTTAAAGAAAAGTATCTTTAAGATACACTTATTTGTGGCTTCCAGTCGAATAATTACAACGCAAAACAACTTCCTCAAGGCACAAAATAATCTTTAAGTTTCGAATGTATCCTTGAGATATGATTATATCTCATAGATCAAATACATCTTTAAGTAGCAATCGCACAATATCCAAATATATCTTTAAGATATTCAATCACTTTACTATATAAAGCAGCCAAGCTTTATTTATAAGAAATATACAAACTATCTTACAGATACGAATCTTTTTCAAACCTATAAGCGCATCGGAAAGAAATTCAGTTTATACTGCATTTATTGTACAAATAAACTATTGAATCAAAGCATTTTCCATTCAAGTCTAGCGAATAATGCGATTCTCTGGAAAACGGCGAAAAATGAAAAATTCACACAATTCAATTAGATGGCGGCCACGAAATTGCGTTAATGAAAATTGCAAATAAACAACAACAACAACAAATGCATTGAAAATGGGGAAAAGCCAAAAAGCCTGTTGAAAACTGTAACAGCGGAAATATGCGAGGAAATTGCAAAGACGCTGACTGAATGATGGGCGCCAGCTCTCAGACGTTGGGCGGCCCAACAATCCGGACGTCGATATTTGGGGGAGTTGGCCCGGAAATTGTGGCTGGCAGAGTCAGGTTAGCCAAAGCCGTTGCTGAATGAGTAGCCTGAAACACGCTCAAGAATCACTATATAGAAGAAACAATAAATGTCATAGACAAAGGCAAACGAAGGCGCTTACAAAATGATTTTCGTATTGCTCAAATAGCAAAACCTAGTTTTTGCCTTTAAGCACTTAATTTGCTATAATTGAAGCTGTTTTCAACATATTTATTAATTTGTGTGCTTCAGACTTGAAATTCGCATTAATAATATAATTAATGAAACACACACACACATACAGGAGCAATGGCAGAAAAAAGCGCAGCCTCACATCCGGTCAACATTTTGTCGCCATTGCCGTCTCTCTTTCTCATGTGAACTCTTTTGTGGCAACAGCAAAAGATACAAATAAAGCAGAAATTAAAAAAAGAGGTAAACCAAATTACACGAAGCTCTTGCACAAAAAAGACACACACCATCGAACTAATAGTGAGATATAAGTATATACGATATATGTACATATGTAGACGTATATAGAGGCGGCCGTAGAGTGAAGTTGAATTCGGAGTTGAAGTCTGCTCAGATGGCCCGTTGTCCGTTGTTTAGTTAAGCGCAAATCTAAAACAAGTTACAGTTCATTCATTTCCATTAATTCATTCAATCGTGCAACGAACCGGCTTTGGGTGCCCCATTCATCGAGCGGATGTTCGCGTAGTTCTTTTAGGGGGCCTCAACTCCAGTCCCAGCACCAGCCCCAGCCCCAGCCGCAGCTCCAGTTCCAGTTACAGCTCTCAGTCGACGTCTTAGTCTCTCAATCTCAATCGGTGCCCCAAAGACGATTTCCCCCACTAAACACACTCACGAACATAATTCGATTTTATTTATTTTTGATTCGTTTGCCGGAGTTAATAATTATAAATTGGCGTATGTTGGCCAACTGAACAGCAAAAAAGTTACAGATACATTTAGATATCTGAGCATGTGCTTGTCTATCTCGCTATCTCACTCTCTCGCTCTCTGTGTGTGTGTGTATCTCAATATTTCTCCATTTTGTCGTTTTTGTTTGCCTAATTCTTAATGATGCATAAAGTGCTTTGCTTGTCGCTCTTTGGCCGTTGCTTGGCAAATCAAATGTTGAAAGTTGATTGCAAATTAATTGCCAAGCTGCCCCCATGCAAGACTTTGATAGGTTTTACCAAACGCTTTTTGCAATGCCAACAGCGAATAGATCTTTGCAATTAGCTATGCATAATCTAAATGGGTTAATTTGCGCATGTGGCAAGTTTTTGTTTAGGCCATCCAATAAAAACTATGAAAATTAATTTTAGTTCATGTTTTTAATTGAATGCGAAGTGCACTTTAAATGCAGTCAAACAATTAATGTTTCTTACCATTAAAAGTGATTTGCGTAATTAATTTATATAATTACAATGATTAAAGCGTTGAGTGAATAAATGCTATTTATTGAATTGAACTTTTTCAAACTTATTGTGGATACGTTTCAATGATTCGCATTGCAACAGAAACTGTGCTTCGCTCTGGTTCAGTGCCTAAAAGAGTTTTCGTTAGAAATGACGAGATATTTATATAAAAAAAAATAGATCTATTATTCAAAATGAAATTTATTCGTATATAATATAAATTTTAAGCACAGCGGGAAACACGTTCTTCAAACCCGGAATCGGAATTTATTTATTACTGCAAGCTGCAAAACGGAGAAATTTATTTAAAGAAAAATCAACTGAACCGTGCTAAATTTTGACTTTAAAATTTTGTGTTATTATTGTAATATATATATATATTTTTTTTTCTTAGCAAGACTGAACTGTAAAGCAAAAATACTTTAAAGTATCACATTTTTATATAGGAAATTTAATAAATAATTTTTTCATTAAAGTATAGTTATGGAAATATAGAAATATTTTGGTAAAAATTTACATAAATTCAAATTAATATTAATTAATTAATATTTATATTTATATAAAATATAAAATAAATATTTATATATTTATTTAATTTTATTAACCCGTATTCCAATTTTGTTTTTGTTTTATATAAATTACTTTAATTACATATTTATATATATTTTTTTCGTCTTCTAAATATACTTATTTGATTAAAGCATTTTTAACTCAATTTTTTCTTTAGTTTTATAGAGCGTTAGTAGTTTGTATGGCGATATATATAGTTTATCACAAATTGCAATCAAAGTTCAGGGTAGTTCATAGCACAACTGTGAATAGATTTTAACAGCTTATTCATTCGCAGCTAGTG